ACACTTACACACTCTTATCATTCCTTACTTATTATACTTGCCTATTGTCTGTCTTTCCATATTTCTTAGGTCCTTACTATTTCTCTCTTCCCTAATATCACTTACTTCCCTTATCCCTTACTCTAGCATATTTATTATTCCTTTTGTTACTTATTTTACTTACTTTATCATACTTACTTACCTTATTTAAGCTTGCCTTATTCCTTAGTTTTTACTACTTACTCCTTAGTTTATTCCTTTCTTAGTTTACTTGTTCTTTACTATCATTCCTTAGTCTTATTTATTATCTTCTTCCCCTATCCAATACTATATCCTTACTTATTCTTCTATTTATCACTCCTACTTATTACTCGTCTCTTACTTACTCAACCTTCTTATTACTTATTTTACTTATACTTATATTATCTCTTCCCACTTATTCATACTTACTTAATTAGTCTCCTTACTTACTCTTATTATTACTCTTTCCTCTACCCTCCTATCTTACTCCTATCAACTACGTCTTCATATATTAGTCTCCTTGCTATCTCTTACTTATTATTAGTCATCATATCCTTGCTTCTTTACTCACCTTACCCCCTACTTCGCTCTCCTACCCTATCTCCTATTCTATCCATCGCTTCCTCTAGCTTCTATTCGTCTGCCCCTCAATATTCCCTCCTTGCCTTATTATCACGTATTTATTAGTTCTTCCCTTAGTTAGTCCTACTTATTCCTTATATCACTTATCCTATCATATAACTAGCTAGCTTCGATCCGTCTTCAATATTAGTCCCTTATCATTGTTACTTGCTCTCATCATCGTTCTTATCCTCAGTCTTACTTTACTTACTTTATTATTACTTATTAACCTTTCCATATTCTTACTAATACCTACCCCACTTACCACCTAACATCTTTCTAGCTAACTCGCTTCTATCCCTTCTTATTTTACTAACTCTTTGTTCCCAACTTATTTATATTGCCCATCATTGGTCTTTCTTATCATCTATCTAATCGCTGTGTCCATCTGACTCCCCACTTGCTTCACTAACACTCCTTCCTTCATAGTACATCCTCTTTCACTAAAACACACTACGTAAAAGTCATGTCCCAATTTCAGATCCAATGATAGATCTACAATAATAGACTTCCGTGTCTCATACATAAATTATCTATCTTAAAAGTCTGTCCTGTCAATCCGATGTGCTTCGATGGCCAGGATAAATAAAAAATTTTAGGGGTGGTACGCAAAAAGCTCTGATGGCAAGAGAGGTACTCAATAGAACATATATACAATCAATATATACAATCAACTACAAGATGGCTGTGCCGTGAATCCTGCACTAACAATCCTCAATTCCCTACTCTTCTCCATATCATGACTCATGTACACTATCACTCACCCCATATCCTAACTTATACCTAGTCTGCCTTCCAATACATTATACCTTCTCTCTTCCCTACTACTTGTATATCTTCTACATCAATCACCTTCTATATCTTACTATTCCTGCACTCTTCTTTACTCTTATCTACCACCTCACCACTCAATATCCTTCTACTTTCCTTCTTACTAATCCTCCTCATCTATCTTTTCCATGTACCGCGGCATCTA